GTTGAAATTCAAACGAGGGTAACAATCCAATTTCAGATATTTGACATTTATGCTGCCTATTAGATTCATCTAACCAATGATCTAGACTGAGAGTCTAGCAACACAACAAATATTTGTTAGATTTTATTTCTAATAAACTCTAAAACACTAAATCTTGTTTTATAAAGGCATACATAGTAACCCTAAACTAAGTTAGCCGTCATCACCACCAGAAGAGCGAGGTCCAGAAGAACCAAGAGAGAAGTTCTGTAGAGTGGATATGGGGGAGCAAGCCACCATGCATTATACTCAAGCGATCTATCAAGTAGTGGTCAATTGACGAAAGTAAAATCACCATGATTAGTTAGATTTATATCTCTTTCAGAATAGAAAATAAAAATCGAACCCTACCCTTGTAAGACCGTTAAAACTAAAATCCATATGGACCATATGAAGATGATAAACATGAACAGTTTTGGTTTACCACCATGCTAGCAAACCCTAATTGGATTTGGACCACTTAATTAGGCAGGGATATATATAGGAGCACCTCAGTTAAATCTTTTGAGTGATGGGGGACCATTAAAAAGCCAATCTGACTTCCATTATTTTAAAATTTGCATCAACATTAGATGGAGATTCCATGGGCCCTTGGGCAAGCAAACCCTTGGCACACCAGCTAAGAAAACTCCAGAATAGGCCTTTAGCCTGCCAGTGCCAGTGTCTAGCCCTGTGGGCCTGTCCACACTTCCGCAACATTCCAATCAAATGTTTCACTCTCTATCTTTGGTTGCTGAGAAAGCGGAAGAAATTGGAACAAAATGTTGGATGAATATTTTGGTGATGCAACCCAGGTTCTTGTTTATTTTGAACCAAATTCTGTGCCAATTCCTTGTGAAATTTGAATCTTTGTGACTTTCCTGTGTTGGGCATGTGAATTTTCACCTTATTACAACCATCATCAACAAAATTCCGAAAACAAACAACCATGAACGTTATTTGTTTACTGCATCGATGAATAATTATTAAGGATTATGCTAAGATCAGTCATTTACGCACAAAGAGCGCTATCCGGATCGTTTAATTTTCAGTTTAGTGGGCCAAAAGCCCATAAACAGGAAAACCAGAAAGCATCATCTTCTAAAATTAGAGGCCTACCTATCAACTCAAGAGAGAGCGAAATATTTTAAGACCCAAATCCCAAGTTGGCCCAAATGGACCTCAAATTACTCCATAGATGGTAATTGGTCTCTCTGGGATTTATACCTAGTCCCCAAACAGGGTTTCTGCAAATTTATTTTACTTTAGGTCATTTTCTGATGAGTAGATCAAATTGCTTAGGCAGCCATTAGTTTACCCAAAAAATACTTTTAAGCAATTCGTGAAAGGCCTACCATTAAATTCTATCTATTTCGTGTATTTTTGAAACAGACCTTTTGATCAGAAATTATAGAGAACAAAACAAAGAAGAAATACAGAGAGCGGAGATATGGGGAAGATGATTGTTGAAATTTCAATGGGTAAACATGAAAAACAACTGCCCACCTTCCCCGAATTTGATATTGCAGGGAACTCTTTCGGATCAGAGTGCATTGATTCTAGCACTACGCCGATACACACAATCCCTGCTCATCCAAACCCACTCAACATCAATCAAAACCCTAAACCAAAATCAAAATCATACACGCGTTGCAACGACATAAATAGATACGCAGAGTCGGCCACACACAGGTACACGGCTAGGGCCATGACCATGAGAAGAGATCTGCGTGCACCCTGTATATATAGGAGAACAAATATACACTAGGGTTTTTGTGGCTGGCCAAATTGATTACGAAAATACCCCTTCCAAATGGATTTGGATCGTATGAAATGCTTTATGTGGGCTTCAATTTTGAGTAACCCAATTCCAGCCCAATGGTCCACACTTCACATCTTAATTTTTATATTTTAATCAAGAAAAATCAATGGCTCTTTATATTTTGAACGTGCTATCTTTCCATATAAATTTTTTTTAAAAAGAGAGTTGATTTCCCCACTCACTTTTCTCCATCTACACTCTCTTTTGTTTTTTTATATTTTTTTAAAAATTAATTTTGTTCTTTCTCTTTCCTATTCTACCCTTACCTATCTTTCTCCATTTACACTTCCTTTTGCTTTTTAATACTTTTGAAGCATTATTAGATGAACTTGGTTGAATTTGATTGATATGGCTGCAAGGTTTATTTGTGGTTATAGCTTTTATATGGTTGAATTTTCCTAGCCACCAAATAGGTTTTTTTTAGCAACCCATGTTGTGATGGTTTAAGTGGAATGATACAGTTTGGTTAAATTAAATCCTCTTTTGTATATGTTATTAAAGTTGTGATTTTAATTTGAACTCTCGTATTTTGAGTATATGAGGATTTTGTTCAGTCTAGTTACTCTGTCTTTATGGTCACTTTGGCCATCTCTATATTTTATTGTCTTTTACATTAAAATTTATTTCAGTTTCAAAAAAAAAAAAAAAAAA